CACGTAGGCACTGGCAGGTTGCTATTAGGTCCCCCTGAAGCTTTCTCTTCTCCGGGTTGAAAAAGCCCCGTTCCCTCAGCTTCCAGATGTTCTGTAGTAAAAAGGATTTTAATAAAAACTTTCAGATTTTTTTTTTCCTTAGGTTTTGTGCAGATTGCAGAGCCACTTGGGGAAATTTCAGTCTTTACTCTCATAACCATCGAGGGGGGTAAAACTTATTCACTGTTTCTGAAATATTTTGATAGGCTTTTTATTTTGTCTGTACGTGTTTCTCTCCCAGACCTTCACTGAGGTCTGCCTTGTGCTCCTCCATAAATTAAAGTGCAAAATAATGGGGTATGAGATAATTGGAAACATTTTGTTTTCATGTTATACTTCTGCACTCCTGAATGTTGCACAGTCTTTTTTTTTTTTTCCTTTAACATTAACATACTTTGAGTATGCTGTAGAGGCTGTCACAGTAACCATACTAAAACATGGGGGGAAAGCAGAATTAAAGATACCTGTCATCGTAAAGATGGCAGGTCAGCTTTGTAGCTGGTATAAGTTGTTTTTACTGCCATTGGAGTGCCATGAATTTTCAGTCTGAGGGCCACACACTGTTCAGAAGTAGTAAGCAGTTACACATGAGAAACTGAGCTCTAGCGTAGCTCGTGCTGAGCTTGTGCTGGTGTCCAGAGGGGTCAGAGTGCTTTTAGCAGGCACTGAGCTTCTCATACAGTGGCAGGACATCAGGAATTTTGCAAAAGCTTTGAAAACAAAGTAGGAGATGGCACAGCTGATGCATTTCATCCTGTAAGGTTTACTTATCTCATTTGTGCTAGTATTTGAAGCTGACTTTTGTAGGAAATGACCCTTGTTCCCAAGGCTGTTTTGCAAATCAGGGATGCTAGTTTCATGAAAAGAAAGGGGCTTGACGAATCTGTAGTCACACATTATTCTAATGCTGATGGGTACGCATTCTCTTCCAAATACAAGGCACACTTCAGTTAATGTGTGAACTTGTACCTATCTATTTCAGTTAAAATTGTGGATTGCTGAAATTCAGTGCTTTGATATCAGTAACAAGTTTAGCTTTAGACAGAATTCAGACAAATACTGCAAGACCTACGAAACTTGAAAATCCAGTTGGTTTGAAGACATTGTAGGATTAGCTCTTTACTTCTTGTCTAAACTTTTTTATTTTGTATTTGTGCAGAAAGATTGCTTTTCATTCCGTAATTTTAGTTAAAGGACAACTGTGAAGCAATTTTCCATTTTTTTTAAATTTGCCATCGGGCAAAAATTGCTCATGTTATTATAAGGAGGTGATTTTAATAACAATGCTGCATGTTAATACCCAGCAACTATGAACTATTCATTTGATATCTGCAACCTTTGAATCTTGTTAACTAAGTAATTACAGAGTCACTTGTCCCCCAAAGTTTAAAAAAGAATAAGCTAACGTTCTCATTACATTAGATTTATTTTTAAACAGTGTCTTCCAGAATGTACAGATCTGAATCATAGAACAGCAGCAGTGCAGCTTGTGTTGTAGGCCGTGATGAAGCTCCATACTGTGTAAGAAGCTTAAAGCAGTGATATTGATACGAAATGGTCATATCTAAAACAAAGCAAACCTTGCCTTCAGATACTTAGAAATAGCCCTCATTCTCCTTGCATATCAGAATGACTGTTTTAATTCTAAATTATGAGTATTTTGGTTTTTTTCTTGTGTTGGTCCCGTCCCCCTCACCTTCATTGAAACCTGAGGTTTGAGGGAAGCAAACACGCTACAAGGAGAAAATAAAATTGACTATAACAAGGTGCTTGTATCGTTCAGTGAAGTATTCTAAGAGGTGCTTAATGCTAACACAAAGGTGCACGGCGTGGGATTAAATGGCAAGTTGCAGCCTTCTATTTAGAACTGTAGTTAAGTATAATATAATATATTATGGTAATAATTGTATCAAGGCTATGGCTATAGGTTTGCCAGTTGTACCCCTTGTCTTGAGATCCCCAAATTGTATGAACATATGGTCCCCATATCCAGTTAGGGACCATGGTGGGTAGAGAAAAAGGAAACATAATGAGACAAAGTTGAAATGCTCCATCCTCTTCTCTGATGTCTCATTGTCCACTGACCTGTTCTTTCACACTTTCTTCAATGGGCTAGTTATTGGCCACAGCTTGAGTTCTACCCTCCTGTTCCTAGAGTGCTTCACTTTGGAGGAGTTGGTCATTACTCTCAGGGTAATGGGTCCCATTATTTGGAGCTACCTGTATCAATATCAGTCCTCCATCTCTTTCCTCTACCTCGTAAGCCTGACACCAAACCTAGTGTTTTTTATTTTAACTTCAGAGCCCTGTCTGAGAGCTAGAAACTATCGTCCCAAAACTGCTTATATGTTCATCATATCAGCTAGCTCCCCTCCTGTCTTTGCCACTTCATACCAAAGTCCTGGCATGTTGTCAGCTGGGTGGAGGAAATGTAACTGCTAGTGCTTGATTCTGCAATTGTTGGAACTCAGCAGAGGAGACTGAATTAGCAGTCCCCATCCTGGAGAAATAGTAACTTAAAACTAAAGTGTCAGAAATCTGATCACAGCTTTTAAGTAGTTCAGAAAGTCCTGTTCCCTTCTTGCTTGCCCACTCCCTGGATGTGCGCACACAAACACACAGGCACCCCATTACCTAGAATCATAGAATCATTAAGGTTGGAAAAGACCTCTAAGATCATCAAGTCCAACCATCAACCCAACACCACCATGCCCACTAAACCATGTCCCTAAGCGCCTCATCTACACGTCTTTTAAATACCTCCAGGGATGGTGACTCAACCACTTCCCTGGGCAGCCTGGTCCAATGTTTAACCACTCTTTCAGTAAAGACATTTTT